ACAGTTGCATTAGTGTTTGTTACAGAGTGCTTGCGATTCTTCCTTTTGCGGCGATTTTTCTTCTTACGGTTGTTTTTGGAAGAAATTTCGTCAATTGAAGTTTCTTCACAACAGTCCATTGGTTGTAGGTCATGACTTCTAAATTTTCTCTCTCTGACTTTGTATAGTTTCGAAGAGAGTCTTTTTTCATCTTTATTTAATTTGGAGTAAAACGTTTTCAATTGTTCTTCTGTTGAGACGGAATTGAGCTGATGTTTTAGTTCTTCAATGGTTGCTGATTTGGTTAGATATTGATGATTTACGTTTTTACTAAGTAGGGCTGTGAGTTTCATGGAAGCGTCGTGAGTTATTTTATTCCATCTTTTGTTGAATCTGTTTGAACTCTTGCCAATAATTTGTGGTTTCACATGAATTTGAAGACCTTTAGTGACTGTATTTGTTTCGAGGAAATGATGCAAGAAAGTGCAATGATGCTTTAGGCGAATTAAAGCATTAGTTTCATTGCGTAAAGTTTTGAATGTTTTCTGTATTTGTTGAGACATCGTCTCCATTCTAAGAGATACGGCAACAATTTAAATATAAGAAGGAAACAATGGAACGGATACAGTAACACTACATAAATACAAGACAGAAAAGGGTGTTAGATCACACCAAAGGTAGATCGAGCCATACGAGGTAGGTAATATAAAGAATACAAATCATATGGCGAATAACAACCCTCTCAAGCGTACTGGATCCACCAAGGGATCACGTCTGTCAGGGATTAATTAAAATAGATGCAATAAACTGACGACGAACAGTACGAAACTAGTAACTAACTAGCCTAAGCGCTTTCGACTCTTAATGAGTCTTTTTCAAAGGCAAATACAAAACATAGTTACGACAAACAAATAAACACAAAAACGTTGCGTTTGTAAACCTCTACATTTCTATCTTCACATGTGTTAAAACTATAAATACAACCAGCTTGTGTAGACTAGTTGCGGAAACTGAAAACGTTGTATAATTCCCTAAAAGTCTACAAGCCAAAGCGACATCTATTTTTATTTTGTGTACATATGTAACGCAGATTATATCCCGGATATTTGGTTCTATACCGGTTATTCTTATAGTACGCTTGAGAGGGTTGTTATTCGCCATATGATTTGTATTCTTTATATTACCTACCTCGTATGGCTCGATCTACCTTTGGTGTGATCTAACACCCTTTTCTGTCTTGTATTTATGTAGTGTTACTGTATCCGTTCCATTGTTTCCTTCTTATATTTAAATTGTTGCCGTATCTCTTAGAATGGAGACGATGTCTCAACAAATACAGAAAACATTCAAAACTTTACGCAATGAAACTAATGCTTTAATTCGCCTAAAGCATCATTGCACTTTCTTGCATCATTTCCTCGAAACAAATACAGTCACTAAAGGTCTTCAAATTCATGTGAAACCACAAATTATTGGCAAGAGTTCAAACAGATTCAACAAAAGATGGAATAAAATAACTCACGACGCTTCCATGAAACTCACAGCCCTACTTAGTAAAAACGTAAATCATCAATATCTAACCAAATCAGCAACCATTGAAGAACTAAAACATCAGCTCAATTCCGTCTCAACAGAAGAACAATTGAAAACGTTTTACTCCAAATTAAATAAAGATGAAAAAAGACTCTCTTCGAAACTATACAAAGTCAGAGAGAGAAAATTTAGAAGTCATGACCTACAACCAATGGACTGTTGTGAAGAAACTTCAATTGACGAAATTTCTTCCAAAAACAACCGTAAGAAGAAAAATCGCCGCAAAAGGAAGAATCGCAAGCACTCTGTAACAAACACTAATGCAACTGTTACTAACACAGTAGTCAACATCTCCAATTTAGAACTTACTGATGCAGAAATAAAACTGTTATCGAAAGGTTTGAGTTTCTGTCCCCGTCCTAAAACATACGACAGAGGGAAGCTTAAGAATGACACCGAAGAATTCATCCGCCGGCTAAGACTCAAAGCCCATTTTGCCTTGCAACCACCAAGCAAATCAAAGGAAAATATAAGCTGCGACCAACCCACATTTAGAAAGAAAAGTAACTGGACCCCACCAAAAAGTTCAATTCCGAATCTGGAAGCCTTTATCAACTCGGTTGAAAACGATATTTCCAGACATATCAACCATACTAACAAATATTCTAATTTGACAAAAGAAGAAACAGATGCCCTGCACTCACTGAAAAGCAGAACAGACATAATAATTAAGCCTGCAGATAAGGGTTCCGCTGTTGTCGTTATGAATAGGGAAGACTACATTAGTGAAGCAAGTAGACAACTAAGTGACGCTAGGTTCTACCAAAAACTGGACCATGATCCAACGCTGGAATATGCAAAAATCATCACTAATGTTATTGACGAGGCGTACCAAAGCGGACACATAGACCAGCAAACCAAAAACTACTTAAGCCCAGAAAACCCAAGAGCAGGTAGATTTTATCTTCTACCCAAAATCCACAAACAAGGAAACCCTGGCAGACCTATAATCTCAGGTAACGGGCACCCCACAGAAAGGATATCAGAATATTTAGATCATTTTATGAGACCACATGTTCACAAATTACCATCATATCTTCAAGACACGACAGATTATCTCATAAAAAGCAAAGCTAGTGAACCATTACTGCCAGATACATTACTTGCTTCCTTAGACGTCACATCTTTGTACACCAACATACCGCACAACGAAGGGTTACAGGCATGCAGCGAAGCATGGGAAACAAGAACTGTAAACAATCCACCCACACACTTCTTAATCCAACTCCTGGAGCTTGTCCTAAGACTCAACAACTTTGAATTTAATGAAGAAAACTACCTACAAATCAATGGAACTGCAATGGGTACTAAAATGGCCCCTTCGTATGCTAACATTTTCATGGGAAAACTTGAGGGAAAGCTCTTAGCATCGGTTGAGCGTACACCATACCAGTGGGTACGCTTTATCGATGATATAGAAATGAAGTGGCAGTATGGAAGAGAAAGTCTGGATGACTTCATTTCAAAGGCAAACAACTTCCATCCTTCAATAAAATTCACGGCAGAAATTTCCAACTCAAACCATGTTTTCCTGGACACAACAACCAGACTGGTGGAAAACAAATTACACACAGACATCTACTCGAAACCAACCGACAAACACCAGTATCTTCTCCCAACCAGCTGTCATCCAAAACACTGCATTAAGAACATTCCATATAGCCAGGCACTGAGGATACGCAGAATTTGCTCCGACGATGAAAGATTCATAGAAAGGTCTGAAGAGCTGGCTAAACATTTTACCGAGGCTACGACAAAGACCTGATTGCGGAGGCAATCCAAAGGGCCAAACAAACAAACCGTGATGACCTACTCAGATATGGACAGAAAGAAAAGGTTGATAGGATACCATTTATTCTGACCTATCACCCAGACAATCCCAAAGTAGGTAAAATCATCGCAAACCACTGGCCAACCGTGCAATCGTCAGACATACTAAACCTAATACTTCCGAACAAACCTGTAGTAGCTTACCGGAGACCAAAAAACCTAAAGGACATCCTAGTCAGGGCCAAGCTAACAACAATCGCTAGTCAAAACCAACCTAGTCAATCTGGACCCTGTGGCGATAAAAGATGCAAAACCTGTCAACATATGATAGAGACCAAGACATTCACTAGCACAGTGACTAAAGAAAAACTAAACATACATGGTCCAAACAAAACGTGCAAAACAGAGAATGTGATTTATCTCATCACATGTAAGATCTGTGGCCTTCAGTACGTGGGAGAAACTGAAAAGCTACACATAAGGATAAACCTTCATAGATCTGATTGGATGACAAAAAAGCTGTACAGAAGCCCGGTCGCAGAACACTTCTCCTCCCCTGGCCACACTTTCAGTGATATAATACTTATCGCTATTGCCAACAACCACAGCTGGAGTTCCGAAACCAGGAAGGAAAAGGAACCATACTGGATACGCCGCCTTAGAACATTGAAACCAAGCGGTCTAAACCAAGAAGACTAGAAAATGAAAACTATGCACTAGTAGAATTTAACATTTTCTAAATCTTCTTATCCTTCAATTTTTACTATAAGAATAACCGGTATAGAACCAAATATCCGGGATATAATCTGCGTTACATATGTACACAAAATAAAAATAGATGTCGCTTTGGCTTGTAGACTTTTAGGGAATTATACAACGTTTTCAGTTTCCGCAACTAGTCTACACAAGCTGGTTGTATTTATAGTTTTAACACATGTGAAGATAGAAATGTAGAGGTTTACAAACGCAACGTTTTTGTGTTTATTTGTTTGTCGTAACTATGTTTTGTATTTGCCTTTGAAAAAGACTCATTAAGAGTCGAAAGCGCTTAGGCTAGTTAGTTACTAGTTTCGTACTGTTCGTCGTCAGTTTATTGCATCTATTTTAATTAATCCCTGACAGACGTGATCCCTTGGTGGATCCAGTACGCTTGAGAGGGTTGTTATTCGCCATATGATTTGTATTCTTTATATATATATATATATATATCTATATATATCTATATATATATATATATATATATATATATATATATATATATATATATATATATATATATATCTATATATATATATATATATATATATATATATATATATATATATATATATATATAGTCACGTGACCCCCTCGACCCAGGGTGCGGGTGCGCATGGTTGCGATTACTCTTCAGTAAACAAGATACCGATATATGCACGGCAGCCAGTCATTGTATGTGTATCAAATTTAGAACATTTAAATTTGGCGTGTAACACGTCTTCAATCAATAATATCACAACAATGTCTTTTATTTGATAGGTACTTAGATTATGACGATATTTCTCTTTAAAATGGTTAACGAAATATTGTACTTCAGTTGAAAACAGGTCATACTATAACATACATCTTGGCCTCAAGTGTATCTGCTGACACGACTGAAATACATAGTACTTTATATCGCTCTGGTGGCCTAAGTGGTTAGAGTGTCCGTCTCGAATGCGGAAGGTCGTGGCTCAAACCCAGGCAGAGTCATACCAAATACTCAATTTTTGGTATATGGTATAAACAGTTACCTAGTTAGGCTCTCAGCATTAAGAGGTTAGTGTTCGGAACAAGTTGTTATGATAATGTGACTATGTGGGACATGATGCCACATGTCTGTGGTATTGGCCCAGTGCTAGACATAACAATAAACCGCGACACTGCAGAAATCGTAGCAATAAGACTGAAAAGTTTCTAAAAGCTACGGTAAAAATCCAAATCACACAAACGCGCATTCACGCACGCACCCCCCCCACACACGTTGCGGTTTCATTGTGTTTGCATATCATTTCTATCAACGATTTAATTTTACAACAGTCAAAACTTATATTTCAGTTTATAAGTTTATAAGTTTACTGAAAACAAGGCGCCCTGAAACTGAATTGTTATGTAGGTAAAATAAAACCCGCGATGTTGATTATATATATATATATATATATATATATATATATATATATATATATATATATAGCTATAGATATATATATATATATATATATATATAAAGTGAATAGCTCAATGTTGATCTGACGGTCTACTTTCGTTTTCGTCGAAAGTGAATAGCTCAATGTTGATCCGACGGTCTACTTTCGTTTTCTTCGGCAGTGACGTACGGAATACGTGCGTCAGTTGTTTAGTTTCAGTTGTACAGAACACGGCCATTTTGACTCGCAAATGAGACAGGAGCGGTAAGTTTCTTTTATTTTTCTTTAGCATTAGAAGATTACATATATTTTTTTTAAAACAAAGATATCCGTAGATGTTAATAATGGCGTTGTAAATCACATGGGTTCGTTACAACAAAAACTAGGAGTATCCGTCCATGACTCCAGGGATGGGGTTTTCTAACATGTCCCACTATAACACATATTGTTACAGATTAGATCCCACCCCTTTCCCCACCCCGATTCATGGACTGATACTCCTAATTTTCTTTGTAATTAACCCCTGTGTCGACAAGAAGGGACAGTTTGTGACCGAGTTGTTAATTTCATCCGTAATGATAATGTTTCAGATTGAAGGGAAAAAAAAAAACAAAAAAAACAACAGAAGATGGCTATAAATTGTGATTTATTGGAACAGTGGGAGGTAACTCTTATTTGCATTATCCTGCCCAAAAGTGTTCGGTGATCATTATCACCATTATCACATGAGTCAGCAGTTTTTTCAATAAAGCACGACGAAATTTCTGACAACAAGAAATCACCTTAACGGTATTATAAATTAACACAAGGAATGCAACGCTGACCACAACCCTTGCTCGATTCGACTTTTCTCACGCGTTTATCGCTTCAGAATCGTAAGAAAACTGAAAAGCTACACATATACATTCAAAAAACAGTAACATACCAAAGGACCACTCTCGGACGACCATCGCATGAATCCAATCAGGCGAATTAACCTTTATTTTCAACATTACGGTCACAAACCCTGAGCAGCGCTGTCATTACAGGAAGTAGCCCATTTCTACCGGGGGCTAAATAATGTCATGAAACTAATTTCATAAGATAAATTGTTTAACTTATTTTTTTCCAGATGGCATCATTTAATAATTTACGTATAAATTTCCATAACAGAAATATGTAATTAAAGTTTTGATGGTACAAATAACGGTTGATGACGTCAACACATTAAAATATTAGAGCCTAGTATTAAAAGAGAACAGATTCTGCGCCGTGTTCGGAACGATTATTAGACCCTAACGCATATTTACTGCAGGGTAAAAACTAGTAGAAATGGGTTAATTCCTGTAATGACCGTGCTGTTCAGGGTTTGTGACCGTAATGGTGAAAATAAAAGTTATTTCGCCGGATATAAAACTGCAGACTCCTATGCTATTATAATGTAGTAATAGATGCGGACTTAAGTTATGCAGTTGGATTGCTATTCCTGTGTGGTAACAACCTTGTTCTTTGTGTTGAAACAAATTTGGTTTACGTTGATTGAAAACCAACGTTGTTTCTGTATATGCATAATCGATAGTTTGCATTAATGTTCAAGATTTCCACCAACTTGATAGACATGTAACACCGTGAGACTCCCCATTTAAGAACACACACACACACACACAAACACACACACACACACTAATGCATATAACGACTTCGGAGAGTTGAAATGAAGCAATAAATAAATTTCTAAGCATGTGCTAAATACGTAACCGCAGAGTGCAACGTATACATGGGCACACCATCACCCTTAAATTAAGAATGCGATTACTGCACACATGCAGGGGACCCGAGTGGCCGAGTGGTCTAAAGCGCTGTCCGTTACGGATCACTGCCATCTCACCTCTGTCTGCGTGGGTTCGAGTCTAGGATTCGGCGAATGTGGATATGTGAGAAAGCTTGCCAGTAACTTCTCGTGGGTCGGTGGTTCTTTCCGGTGACTTTCCGGTTTTTTCCTCCACCATTAATACTGGCCGCCATGAATAGCCTATCATGTACTGAAAAATGGCGTTGAGCCCAACAACAACAACAAAACAACAACAACAACAACAACAACTCCACACATGCCATGAGGTTACGTGGCCAAGGCATCTTTAGTTGTCATGTTTCCGTCATCTTTGAGTCATATCAAATGGTACATATTGTGTGAAAGCGGTGTCCATGAATTCAGGATACTCAGCATCGACGATAAAACAAAGCAGAGTCTAAAACCCAATTGCGTGGTTGTCCTTGCTAAATCCATATAAGCAGGCATTTGTATAGCCTTTTGGCGGTTTAATTAACAGTGACAGAATTACTTTAGTTGTTGGGGTTACGATAAAAAATAGGTCTGGTTTATATCAATGGGATACCATGCAAAACTTTCAGAATGTTAGTAGCTAGATATTCAGCGATGACAACGACACTGTCATTATGCTAGACGCAAGATCTACGCCATGAACCTCTATGACCCTCCACAGAATATTAACGACACAATATTGGTGTTCGGACCTCACATTAACGCCTTATAATTATCATTTCTTCTATGAGATAAAATAATTTGCGAGGGCCTGAACGTCAACGCACAGCTGACAAGATTCTCGACCACTGTAACCATTTTTAGATAGGTCACTTACAATTCGCGTAGCTAAAATAACAACCATGGGTGAACAACCAGGCAATAAACACGAAGCAATGGTGCCGCCTGCCAACCTGTTATCGTTAACCTTTTAATTGAGCACTGGAGAAGTTCGTAAAACAAGTACCTGACATTCTTTCAGATTGGGAAGGAACAAGGTTGCAACCAAAGCCAGCTCGCATACTGCTTTGGATATTCGAGCTTTCGCTGTGAGAACAAATTTAAAAATAATTTCCTTGAGGGACTATTACGCTATTGCAATCACAACGATCACGTGATATTTGCTGAAACATCTTGAACAGGGACCTAGCTGACAAAAATCATTCCATCAGGTTATGTAAGACAATCAATCACTCTGTTAGGAGATTAAAAAGTCTTGTAAGATATGCCCAGTTGTAGCAAAGTAATTGGCCAAAACAAAAACAATCGGTATACCTAGGAAAAGAAGGCACGTTGGCCGGAACTCTTTGCAAGAGTATTAGCTCCAGTGTTGAAGGCATTGTCATTTTCAGACCCAAAACTATTAAAGATACTTTTCTTTAAAACCATCGCCGTCTTACCAGTATGTCACTAAGACAGGTTAATGGCGCCCATATGCCCTCATCCGCACCCCACCCTCGAAGCAATTAAACTTTCATATCACCCTCCATAAAAAGGACTTTAATATCCTTGCCCCTGATGTAATAATGTTCCAAAACTTACAAGACCCGATACACCTTCCCAATACCAACAAGATTTATAAGAATTTGTCCTGAAAAATATTAGTCTGGCTGCAACTTTTCTGCGGACAGAGGCCGAACAGGAGCACAATCCATACAAAATGTACAGGCGTGCTGACATCGTGGTGGACAGCGCTGACATCCAAATGAAGACTCTCTGTGGGCACGGACTTGACTGGAATTGATGTTTTGTGGAGAATCACTGCTGCCCTAATCCTGGTTGCTCACGAAACTTCAGCAGTGGGTTTCGGGTTAGTCGCTATGGATGGAAACTGTCAGCCAGCAACAAACCAACAAGAAATCCGAAAAAAAAGGAAGAAATCCGCGTCGTAGTCGAAACCAAACTAAATACGATTGCGGACCATATATCTAATGCGTTTCGCGAGAAAGCCAGTTTCTACGGAAGAGTTCAAGCTTATCCTCGACTACATCGACAAGTACACAACCATAACTATGAAACAGGGTCTAACGCACTCATTGCATACAATTTGGTTGTAATTGACGAAGTGGCATAAAAAGGAGAATTAATAGCCTACTGAAATGGAAAAGCTCGCAAACAGCTCTTAAAAATAATTTAGTTTAGAATTCAGCATAGACTGCCTGCTAATGGCTGCATCAACTGAACACCTGCCGGGTGCAAGACCCATTCATAGCGTGCCTTCAGCATATGCTGTTTAACGGGCACACAATAAAGTTTTAAACATTGTGTCATTTTTGTAGGTATTAAACCCCATATAGTGTGGTGGCAGCCTCACGTTCCATCGTTCTAAGATGATATGATCTGCTTATCCCAGTAAAGCCCGTAAACTTTCAGTGTTACTGACCACATTGGTTAAGCCTGTTTGCGATGATGCATAGATATACAGCGCTGCAATATACATAGTTACTAAAGAAACAATGTCATCAAAAGGAAATCAGTGTACATTTTTTTGCTAATGGTATCATAGTCACATCTAAAGAAGTCGATGGAAACAATTAATAAAAGTGGTCAAAAGACCATTTGGTAGCCTGGTCTTTGTCTGGTTAAAGCGCTTGGACCAGTGGTCGGTAACCTACGTCAAGAGGTTTTGTGTGGCACGCGACGGGCAGCCAAAACACTAGATTTTAACAGTGTTACTCTCTTACTGGTGGAGTTAAATCGTCCATTTTGTAATTAATCCTGAAAAAGTGACATGCTCTGTAAAGTAGGTTGGAAACCCCTGACTT